AAACAACTATCATCAACTGAACCTAAAAAAACAAAAAAAAAAACTAAGCAAACAATTGGAACAGGAACAGAATCACAGAAATGGAGATCACATGGAGGGTTTTCAGTGGGGAGGAGAAGGGGAAGAATGAGATGGAAAAGGTACAGGTAATAAGAAGCATAATTGGTAGGCATAAAATATACGGGGGGGGGTAAGAATATTATGGGAAATAGAGAAACCAAAGAACTTATATGTGCAATCCATGGACATGAACCAAGCGTGGGGTCGTGTTAGAGGATGGGGGGTGTGCAGGGAAGAGAGGGAATAATGGAGAGAAAAAATTGAGACAATTCTAATAGCTTAATCAATAAAATACACTTACAAATAAAAAATAAAGAACTCTAAAACACTAATTTAAAAAGATATATTCATCCCTATGTTTGTTGACACATTATTTACAACAGCCAAGACATGGAAGCTACCTAAACGTCTATGAATACACAATTGGATAAAGAAGAGGTGGTACATATATATGATGATATATTACTAGGCCATAAGAAAAGAATGAAATCTTACCATTTACAACAACATGGATGGAACTAAATGGTACTGTGGTAAGTGAAATGAGTCAGAAAGAGAAATACCATATGATTTTACTTATTTGTGAAAGCTAAAAAACACACAAAAAATGAACAAATAAAACAGAAACAGACTCAAAGACACAGAGAATAAACTGATGATCGTCTGTCAAATGAGAGGGGGATTTAGGGACTGAGGGGAAAAGGTGAAGGGATTAAGAAGTACATTATGGTAGTTACAAAATAGTCACAGAGATACAAAGTACAGCATAGAGAATATAGTCAATAATGTTGTAATAATTATTATGGTGCCAGGTAAGTACTAGATTTCTCAGGGGTCACTTCATAAGTCATATAAATGCCCAACTACTATGGTATACACAGGAAACTAATGTAATATTTAATGTCGACTATAATTGAAAAATTTAAAAATATGCACAATTTGCATATTTTGCAAGGCATGATCTTGTGGTCATAATTTTTATATTGTTGAGGATATACTACAGTATTAATAAATATGCTAAATTACATCGTGCTGTAATAAATGCCCATTTACTCTGTGAGGCCAATGGTATTGTAGAAACATGAAGCTGTCCGTGGCATCAAACTAGATAATCATTTTTAGACCCTCTTCATTGCTCTGAATATCTCTTTGAAGGAGCCCTATGTCCAGTTTCAGGGTCAACGCCTTTCCAAAATCATACACAATGCCACCGTAACTGTGTGCATTAGGCGTTCCCTCTGTGCCCACTGTGAAATTGCAAGAGAAGCCTACCAAGATCTCACTACTGCATGTTTTTCGTACATTGCAGAAGAGGAAGACACAAGTAGAGGATAAGAAAGAGTGTAAGTCTCTTTAATCACTTGGTCATGGGCAGCTTCCTTATTTCTCATGCCAGTTCATTCTGCAGCACTAGCTCACCTCGTGGCACATCAAAAAATCTGTTGCTTTATGGGGAAGACAAAGAGAATTTAGGTTTAGCCATGCATTGCATAGAATGTTAATCTATAGCTGTGTAAGAGCAGCACACTATTTAGAATTTATCTGTCTATGAGAAACCCAAACATGTGTGACCGTACTACCGAAATGGGCACATTAGGAATGCTTCCCAATAGGTCGTTCTGCCATATGCCTTATGAGGTATAGGCTATACAATGAGATTAAATTTTAAAGTGATATTTAGAGAGTTAAAAATTTACTCAAGGCCATGCTTTGAGTCAATGATGAAAAAAATATTTCTTTACTTCCACTTGCCTTCTTTGTTCTTGAGTAGTTCGCCTTAAGAATATGGAGCTAAGAAACTACAGGTAGAACATAAGCAATGTTAGACTCGGTGTTATCAGTAATTAAGTTTATGGAATGCTTACTGTGTGTAAGGCACTTTAAGAGGTGCAAAGTAGAGTAAAATATATAATTATAATTTAAAATGATAAAAAAATTGTTTTATAACTTTTTTGCCTTTGGTGTGGGTGGTGAGAAATCATCTCTTCCTACTTAAATTGCCAACATTGAAAAGGCAAAATTTCAAATATAAATGTACTCTTTTACAGTAACATAAATTCTCCTTGATATCCATTATCATATCTAAATTAAAAGGCCCTTTCTAACAGAGTTAGGTCAGGTCTCACTTTTTTCTCTCATGTGATATTGCCTCCAATCTGTAAAGTTTCAGAGGGCAACTGCCAATTCTGGAAATATATATGCCCTCTGAAACCGTTCCTGCTAGATTAGCTCAGCTCTGCCACTTAAGAATGAGACAGTCTTGGCCTCTTACTGAATGAAACTCTTTGCACCTCAGATTCCATGTCTATAAAAGGTACATAATGAAACTTAAGTTACTAATTCATTTTGATTAAATGATACAGTACATTACTTCTTTGCCAAACATGAAGAACCATCGAAAGGTGTGGAATCAGGCTCTTCTACAACAAGCACAGAAAAGTAACAACTGCTCAAAATAATTCTTTCAATGGTCTGCAGTGAGTGGTGCCTAAAATACATATTTTATTCCCCATCTTGATTTAAAGCCCTAGGTCTCAAGGGGATCCCTGTTAAACTATAAATATGTAATATGAAACAATATATTAACTGCCATAAAAGTATATTAAGGTACCTAGTTGTGATGGGTCACAGTGGAAAACACTTATTTTTGGCAGTAATAAAAAGAAGCAAAAGCAATAAAAAGAAAGAAGCAACTGATAATATGCAACAAAATGAATGAACTTTAGACACAAAGTGAAAGACACCAGACACAAAAAAGTTCATACTGTATGATTCCATTTTTGAAATTCTAAAATTGTATGTACAACTAAGAAGGACACGAGGAAATATTCTCTGGTGATAAAAAATGTTCTATGTCTTCAAAACGATGTGGGTCACACTAGTGCATGTGCAAGTATTTTTCAAAACCGATTTAAAGAAACAAATGATCTGAGCACTTCACTGTATATAAATTACACTTAATTTACTAACTAAATGTTATTATGGTTATTCTCATTAGCTCTTATATTTTATGGATATATGCCGAAGCATTCACAGATGAAAAAGGTATATGTAATTCTTGCAGTTTCTTTAAAAATGGATAAGTAGTGGTAAAAACTGGGGAGTGGGTAGGCATAGAGAAGAAACATGACTAGCCATATGTTGAAAAATCTTGGAAGTTGGGAGACACTGGGGAGTCTCTATTCTCTCTATTTCTGCATCTCTTTGTGTTCTCTTTTATTTATTTATTTATTTTCAGAGAGAGGGGGAGGGAGGGAGAAGGAGAGGGAGAGAAACGTCCATTGGTTGCCTCTCACAAGCCCCCAGTGGGGGACTGCCCACAGCCCAGGCATGAGCCCAGACAGGGAATCCAACCCATGACCCTTTGGAAATCCACTGAGCCACACCAGCTAGGGATTTCTGTATATTTTGAACAGTTTCCATGATAAAATGTTGAAAAGACAAGGGTCACTTGGGTTTACCTCATTATAAAAAGAAAACTGAACAGAAGGAGGACATAGCTTTTGTACGTCTTAAAGCCAGACAATGAATCAACTTTCAAGGTTAGCCTTCTTCCTCTGACCCCAACGAAGAGTGTTTTGGAAAGGCTACTTTTCAAAAGGGTTGGTCAGTAATATAATGAATTATTTAAGTATACATATCCTTGCTTCCTGCCCTTTTGGTTTCAAAGGCTTGTTTTGTAGAGTTACACTGCATATGTTACAAATTTCAGACCCAAGGAAGTGCAAGCGTAAGCGAAAGCATCCCCCCCTCCAAAATGAACACAAAACAAAATAAAAACACGGCAGACTTGTTTTCCCTTGCAGTGCTAAAACCATCCTCCCAGGCCGAGAAAGCAAAGGCATTCCTAGAGGGAGGAGCTTGGTTCTCCTTTCCGACGCGGTCGGGGAACTGCTGTTTTCCCTCCGCTCTGCCCGCGGCGCGAATGCGCCCGGCGGCGCAGTCATTTTCTCCGGACCTGCGCTTGCACGTCCCCGCGTCCGCCGGGCCCCGCGCCCAGGTGAGAGGTGCGTTTCAGAAGGGGCGCAAGACTATTTCATTAAATGTGGTCCTTCGGGAGAGGAAAACCGCGCCGGACTCGTCTCCTCCATCCAGGCACCTGCGTGTGGAAAGTAAATTTCACTTCGGGAACGAAAAGCCTGCGGAGCGCTGCGCTTCGAGGGCCGGGGAGTAGATATTCCTCCTTCAGCCGCTGGGAAAACCTGCGCCTGGCAGGCGCTGATTGGTGGGAAGGGGAATGGGGAGAGTGGGGTGGAGAGCGGATTCGAGGCGCCTCCTCCCGCCCGCTCAACCTGCGACTCTCCCCGACTCGTCTCCCCCGCGCCCGCCCGTCCCTCTCCGCCCCAGGCCAGGCGAAGCGCCGAATCCGGAGGGTGTTTGAGCAGAAGCACCGCAGACCTCGGGTACCAAGACCGTAAATCAGATTTCAGGAGGGAAACGAGTTCTCGGCGGTGCCTCTGTGAGCACTTTTCTGACTCGTCTGCCTCCTTCAGCAGCTCCCCAAGAGGATGACTCTGTCTTTGGCAGTTGATCCCTAGGGCCGCACGCCCCCAAATTGGCTCTGATACAGGGGTTCGCGTGAAACCGGGGGAAAGGCAGAGACTGGGGAGGCGGGGGTGGGATGGGAAGGAGGGAAAGACGTCAGCCCGACCCTAAGCGCCCCGGGTGGCCACGGGAGTCCCCGCGCCCCTGAACTTGCGGTGGAGCGCACTGCACCCCGGGCGCAGCCTCCCCCGCCCCGTCCTCCTCGGAGGGGAGCGCGGCGCGCGGCGAGCAGCTTGGGCGAGGGGCGGAGAGAGGCGCTGACAAATCAGCCGCGGGGGCGGTGAGCCGCGGAGAAAAGGAGAAAAAGGAGGAGGAGGAAGATCGCGACGACGAGAAGGGAACCCAGGAAAGGGGGCGAGCGACCGAGAGCGGCCACGCGGGGTGAGGTGTGTGCTGGTTTTAGAGCAGACCGGAGGACCGGCGAGCCCTGCCTTAAGCATCCTTCGCCTTCTCCCCGCCTTCCCTTCCGACCCCCGGCTCTTTCCCTGGGGTCCTCCTGTGCTGGGGACAGGGAGTGACAGTTCCACGACAGGTTCCTGGGGTCGCTCTCACGCCCCCGGCCTCTCGCCCCTCGGTCCTGCTCTCCGCAGCCTCCTCCCGGCACCGACCTTCTCTTGGCGCTGCCGCTGCCCTTCTTCCCTCATCAGCGCTCCTAATCCTCCCTCTTTCCATTCAAATACTACTTGGGAATTGATTAAATGTTTTTAAGGGAATAGGGGAAATCGGACATCTGAGGAGCAGAGGGACTCAGGTAAGCACCTGTGGATCTAAGTGGGCAGCTTCGTAAATCCTGGAGCGCATCTGGTGGAAGGGGAGCCCTTGCGGGCGCCTGGCAGCGGGGTGGCGCCGCCGCGGGGACCCGCTGTGCCGAGTCTCCCCGCAGCTGGGCGAGCCCGAGGGGAGTCAGTGGACCAGGCTTTCCTCCCTCTTGCGTGGTTTCCCTCCTCTCGAAAGGCCGAGAGGTCCGGCTTCTCCGGGACACGCTTTTCCTTCAGGAAACTCTCGGATGCTGGATGCAGCCTGAGCATCCAACTTCGCTTCTCTCTTCCAGTCCCCCCTCTCGGTTTTCTCAGTAAAGTAATCAAGCCAGGTTTGGCAAATAAATAAATGCTAGTGCAGAGAGGGCAAGTCAACAGGTGGTAAGGGGTTAACAGGTGCGGGCCCTGGGTGGGGAGAGGCGTCGGAGCTCGGGGAGAACGCCCCCTCGGGCGGCAGGCGGGAGTCTGGAGTCCGCGGGGGCCTGAGAATAGGCGCCTGCTCAGGGTAGATAGCCCGGGGCGGGGGTGGATGGTGGGGTGGATTAGAGTTGGGGTGGGTGCGCTCTGGTGGGGCCGGAGGTTCAGCCACACCCAGGGTGACAGTTCTCTTTCTTCCTCTCTCCTGGTGGACCTGTTACCGCTGGTCTGGGATTCATTTGCAGAGTGCCCCTGACCCGGAGCCCCAGCTAGCTCCCTTTCTCTTCCAGGCTTGTCTTCTGAACGTACTTCTAATTTATACGGTCACCGTTTGCACCCTGGGAGTTGAAAAGAGCGGTTCATCTTCTCATGCAACTCCACCTCAGAAATGCAGTAACGACAGCTGAGATGATTCATCCTAATCCATGTTGAGGCAGCTAGACTTGTTCTAGCCAAGATGGATGGGGCATGCTCAATTTTTAATGAAAAGCTAAAAAAAAAAAAAAAAGCTTCTTTGTTCAATGGTTGAAATAAGGGTACACTTAAAAGAGCCTCCACACTTTTTGGAGTTCTGATCTCTCGGGGTGCTTCTAGTTTTGTTTTATTTTGCCCCAAAGTTCTCACTCGAGGTGTGTTTTGTGTCTTCCAGAGTGGTCTCAAGGAATTCATTAGCCATGGATGTGCTCATGAAAGGACTTTCAAAGGCCAAGGAGGGGGTTGTGGCTGCTGCTGAGAAAACCAAGCAGGGTGTGGCAGAAGCAGCAGGAAAGACAAAAGAAGGTGTTCTCTACGTAGGTGGGTGAGCCTCAATGGCATTTTTCCCATCTTTTTTTTCATTGTTGTTCAAGCACAATTGTCTCCATTTTCCTCTCACCACTCCCCCCACCCCAGCCATCCATACTCCCATCCTCAATCCTACTCACTGTTGGCTTTGGCCATGTCTCCTTTATACATATTCCTGACAGCTGTTCCCCTTTTCCCCATTATCCCTTCCCACCTCCCCTCTGGTTACTGTCACTTTGTTCTTAATTTCAGTGTCTCTGGTTATATTTTCCTTACTTGTTTGTTTTGTCGATTAGGTTCCACTTATTGGTGAGATTATATGGTACTTGCCTTTCACTGCCTGGTTAATTTCACTCAGCATAAATGCTTTCCAGTTCCATCCATGCTGTTGCAAAGGTTACGAGCTCCTTCTTTCTTTCTGCTGCATAGTATCCCATCTTGTAAATGTACCATAGTTTTTTGATCCACTCATTTACTGATGAGCACTTAGGCTGCTTCTAGCACGTGGCTATTGTAAATCAACAAGTGCTGGTGAAGTTGTGGAGAAAAGGGAACCCTAGTACACTGTTGGTGGGAATGCAGATTGGTACAACCACTGCAGAAAACAGTATGTTATTTCCTCAGAAAACTGAAAATGGAACTACCTTTTGACCCAGTAATTCTGCTGCTGGGACTATATCCCAAGAGCCCTGAAATACCAATTCAAAAGAACCTGTGCACCCCAATGTTCATAGCAGCACAATTTATGATACACCAATGTCATTTTTATATTTCTTTGTAACTAATGAGTTAGGGTGATTAATGTTCTAAATGTTGGTATCTCTCCCTTGATTCATTTTTGCCTCATCACTTATCAAAAGAATGGACTGGGTCAGAGTTATGAGTGGGTAGGTGAATGTGTATATTTGGGCTAATAGTAAAAAGTGAATGTAATCTTTTATTTTCCCAGATTATTGAATTTTATAGTAATACCCAGGTCTTTTTTGTTACTTTAAAAATGTTTATGTACATAAAGGACTATTTAAAAATGTTTTTTAATCAGTCTTTTCAAAAATAATATTTTTTAAAAAATCAAAATCACTCATTGGTCTTTGGTTTCTTCTGTCATTATGACTAATTTTAGAGTATTCTTTTTTTTTAAAACAACACCTAAAAGAAGACCTGAAGAACAAAGAACATAAAAGTCTTTGGTGGATTCCTTGGGACCACATGGCAAGCTGGGGAATAAGAGCTCAAGAAAGTACTTGATGGTTGCTACTAATGTCTTAGAAGCATTTATATAGTTCATTTATCAAATGATACACAAAATAATGAGATTGGTGCTTATCATTTCTATCTTTCCTTAAATTCCCACCTTGGGGTATTCATGAAGACCCCAACTCTCTTTTCTTATCTTAAACCATATTATTAGGTTGGGCATTACTTTTACAAACTTCAGATTCTTTGGGGGAAGGAATAGACACACACATATATGCACACACTCATCCACAGGGATATACACACCCATGTATGCACATTCCCATTCTGCCTTTCCCCTTGACTCTCTGCTTCACTGAGCTGGTCCACACTCTCTGGTGGCCCCCGTAGCAGCGGGAGCCGCAGAATGAGCAGACAGGTGGAGGATGAGCCTATGGAGTGGTCTAGGGTACCATGCCAGTGTCTGTGTGGTGAAAGAAAGCTGCTTTGGTTCTCCAACATAGATGAGTTGGAGGATGGTTATTCTTAGAATGAGTTTTATGATTGCTTCTCTTTTTTTGGTCTCTATTCATAGACTCTTTTATATTGGTTGATCTTAACACAAATCTTCCATTTAATTACTTTCTTGATCTTAAAACATTTGCAGAAAATCAATGAATTAAAGTGTTACAAAAGAAAAATTGGTAAGTTAATTTCAAGTTCTTTTTTGAAGTGTAAATTATTTCTTTGGATGGAATTTGGAATTTGGACTGCTGAATCAGTGATATGTAGATAATTAATATTTTTATATTTGTCCGCGGTTTCTCAAGTTGTCCATGTATGTGCTCACAAATATTCTTTGATTTTAGTTACTTTAAAACTTAATAACTTTAAAGATTTTAAAAAAGATTTTATTTATTTTTAAGGAGATGAGAAGGGAGGGAAAAAAAGAAAGGGAGGGAAAAAGGGAGAGAAACATCAATCAACGTGTGGTTGCCTCTTGTATTGCCTCAAAATGGGGAACTGGCCCACAACCCAGGCATGTGCCCTGACTGGGAATCAAACTCGTGACCCTTTGGTTCTCAGGCCAGTGCTCAATCCACTGAGCCAGGCATGGCTAAATATTTTTTTATAACATTCACTTGATTAGTTTGTAGTGAGTCCAGAAACTATTGAAAATTAAGTTAAAACATTTGCTGTGTTCTAGGTAACAAACAAGTTTTTCTTACTTGAAAAACTTTTCATTTGTTTTTATTGTTAACTGTGAGTTTGGAAAAGTAAAATTTTACTTTCAGAGGTGAATTCTGTTATTCACTCTAGTGTTATTATATAACATTATAATTTGTTTATGTGTTACATTTAAAAAATCATCTTTAATGTCGGTTATGGTATTTTATATGTAGTGAGTTCTAGAAATTATTTATCAGTTTTATCCTAACATCTAATTGGGTTGAAGATGTTTATCCTAACATCTAATTGGGTTCAGTTGAACCCAAACACAGGATTTTGGATAAGAAGGGACCATAAGAAGATACAATAGAACAGTACAGTTGTTGAGAAACTTCCTGTAAATGTCTAGATAAATAAATTTTTAGACTATAATATATCTGTCTCAACTGCTTAACTTTGCTATTGTAGTGTGAATGAAGCCATAGATAATAATTAGTGTGTCTGTGTTCCAATAAAACTATTCTTACCAAAACCAGTGGCAATATAGCTTGTTGGCTATAACTTTCTGACTCTGGGTAAAGTAAAAAGAACATAAATTTGACATTAGACAAACCCAAATTCTAGTCCAGGCTATATCAGGTATTACCTCTAGGATACTGGGGAAGTTACTTAACCTTTCTGCTGAGTACCATGTCCCTCATTTAAAAATACAATTTAGACAAATGCAACTACCTTGCAGAGTTTCTGTGAGAATATCGTGATAAAAAGAGAACATGTGAGTTACGCAGCATACTTTTAAGAAATTAAGTGTTTTATTATTTGGAGCAGTTTCAGGTTCACAGAAAAACTGAAAGAAAGATAGAGGTTTCCTGTGTGCCCCGACCCCCACACATACGTAGCCTCCCACATTATCCACACCTCTCACCCGAGGGGCACATCTGTTCCAAGTAATAAACCTGCACTGACTGACACTCCGCCATCACCCAGGGCCCATAGTTTACCTCTGGGTTCATTGCTGGTGTTGGACATTACCTAGTCTTGGGCAAATGTATAATGACAGATATTCAGCATTAAAGTATCATACAGTTACTTTAGTATCTATTAGTTCGTATCTATTATAAATAACTAGTTTAAAAAGTTATAAGTGACTAAAGAAAATTTTCTAATTTCACTATGGCTGAACAGGTTTGCCTGTTGTCATAAACTTCATAAGAAAAGAAATCTTTTTCTTTTATAGCATTATACTTTTGAAAACTATCTTTTGACTAATTGAAGAACTATTATTAGAATCAGTGTTATTTTTTTATGATTTTTCTCCTTTTGTGATATATACAAGTTTTCAATCAATAGACTTCAATTTAATGGAAAGATGTCCTCAGTTAAATGGCTGAGAAATTATAAATTGAGAGTGAATTTCAAAAACAGGTAGTCTTTATATAATGATAAGTATAACAGTAAAGGAAGAAAATAATCTTCAAAGTCTTCTAATGCCATTTTGCTTACTAAACAGTAGTGGCTATGAGTATAGATTGATATCAACCTCCCACAATATGCTTCTCTCTTACAAAGTTAAAAAAGTCAACATAACATGAGCAACAGCATAGTTGAGTTCTTAAAACTCCCAGGCGTTACTGCCAACTATTTCACTGTGCAGTTTTGTGAAGTCATGAGGGAGAATAGGGTACATGTAGGCCACGGCAACAGGGAGTGTTAGTTCCGGTGTCTCTTTAGGTTTCATAGCTTTCCATTCACATAGCCACTTGGCACGGATTTTGTGGTAATATATTTTTAATTACAAGTTACTCATCAGTTAAAGTTTAATCATTAATTAGATAAAAATGAATAGTTAGCAGCAAACAACAGGTGATTTGTTTGACAAGAAGCAATCTTATTAAGACTCGTCTTTTTTACTTTTCTGGTTATTTTTTTCACTTGATCCTTTTTTTTATTGTATTTTTCCATCACCATTTATCCCCTGCATACCCCCTCCTCCAGCAATCACCACCCAGTTGTCCATGTCCATGAGTCCTGTTTGCTCAGTCCCTCCACCCTAACCCCAGCCCCCCAGAGCTGTCAGCCTGCTCTCTGTCTATGAATCTGTCTCTATTTTGCTTGTTCATTTTGTTGATTAGATTCCACATATGAGTGAAATCACATCATATTTGTCTTAATCTGACTGACTTATTTCACTTAGCATAATGATATCCAGGACCATCCATGCTTTCACAAAGGTTAAAATTTTCTTCTTTTTTTACAGCTGAGTAGAATCTCACCATGTAAATGTCCCATAGTTGTTTTATTCACTTGTCTACTGATGGACACTTGGACTGCTTGCGTATTTAGAAATTGTAAATGACACTGCAGTAAGCACAGGGGTTCTTATGTTCCTTAGAATTAATGTCCTAGGTTTTTCTGAATAAATTCCCAGAAGTGGAATTACTGGGTCATAAGGCAGTTCCCTTTTTAATTTTTTGAGGTATCTCCATACTGCTTTCCACAGTGGCTGCACCAGTCTGCATTCCCACCAACAGTGCACTTGGGTTCCCTTTTCTCCACGTCTTCACCAGCACTTGTTGATTTATTGATGGTAGCTACTCTGACCAGTGTGAGGCAATATCTCAGTGTGGTTTTCATTTGCATTTCTCTGATAATGAATGACATTGAGC